TGAAATTATGCAGAGTAGCACTGTTCATGCACAGCTCTTACATCGAAGTTTTCCCACTATGCCATAAACTACTTTGCAAGCCAGTGTGGGATCTCATCCAATCCCTCTACCATGACAAGCAGTGGAAACAGTGAAACAGACTTGTTCTCTCATATAAGATACACAGTTATAAGTGCAAGGCAAAAAGTTACTGGTAACAAAAGACAAGGTCACAAATCAAGAGTCTTCACCTGTTTTAAGAAACTTAAAACTACTGTTATCCTGTACAGGTAAAAAGAACAGCAAAGCCAAAAAACTTGTATTCCAATGTTCTCATTAGTATCTCTTCTTATGAAAACTGTCTTTTATTACATTTAAATTTGCTCAATTCAAAAATGTGTTCAGCTCTTAGGAGTGTTAGATATGCACTGCTTCTTTTGCATTAAGAAATGAGGCAGCTTTTAACTCTAGTCAATTACAGCAAAATTTTTAGTCAAAAAGAGGAGAATTGCAGTCAAACACACCACAGTGACTCAGAAAGGATGAACACTTCACTAGCAATTAGACAGTAAAGACTGAAACAGAAAGGAAAGTGAACCATGCCTGAGATGCCACATATGCTCCAATTAGATTTAAAAAGTCACTACATTTTACAATAGTCAAGCACAAGACAAATGGCAACATGCCAAAACCAATGAAACAGGCATAACTAGAGCCAATCTTCTAAAAGATGTCATGACACACACCAACAGATCAGGATTTCACAAACCAAGGAGAGTTTTACAGGGTCAGTTCTTGAGTGAGAGACAGTTAAACAAAATCTACAATTAGCACTAAGTTATTCAAATGATTTGCTGAACTTTCCTCAGAATTTCTCATCAACTGGTATGAAATTCCTGTCATGTATGTTGAAGTCAGCATTTGCCAAATACTGTTATTGTTAGCTTTTATCTTCTTTAGAATAAGACCCTTAGACATACAGTTCCTGCCTCCCCAAACTTGTTCTTGAACAGTACTTTTCACTCATTTACCTTGTGCAGTGTTCCGTTTACAGCTAAAGCAGCTGCCCCATATCACCCACCTCAGCAAGCAGCACTCCATCAGTAGCTCACTCCCTTATCCACACACACACACTAGCATAACTTTAAAAGCACAGTAGGTTAAATTGCCTTTAAAATCCTGTTTGTTTTTTAAGCAGCTTGTTAAACTAAGCAAAACTCTCTTGTGAGGTTAGAGATTAGGTTCCCCATTTTATGCATTTGATCATACAACCAAGTCTGGAAAGGAAGCATCATCCTGTCAATTAACAGGCCTTGAAACTTTGTCCTTAGTTAAAGCATGAACAGCTTCACAACCAAGTCCTATAGAAGAGCAGATCTGCCACAGAATGACTCTACTTTTTTAAACTAGATGCTGCTGCAGACAGTCTAGAAAGTAGGTTATACCTTGCCATTCGAGCAATAAAAGTGTGTTTGAACATAAACCAAGAAACAAGATGAAAAATACATCATCCTTCCATCCACCATCCTGCTACCTTGTCCATCTTACCCTGACATCAACACTAGCAAACATCCAGGCAAACTACGCATGAGTACTCTCAAAACGAAGTACATCATCTTCCTCTGCAAAGATGATCTGGCAGCACAAGAAATCTCTCCTAAATAACATCCCTCAATAGTCAAGTCACACACTTCACTTTATTTCATGTTATTAACTTTGCTTCTACCTCCTTGGACCACCCTAAGGGATCGTCTCCATTATGTTCTTCAAATACTTGCAGATAATCATATCTCCCACTTAAACGTCATTTAGCCAAGTTTCATGCATTTCTTTTCATCTTAGCACAAGAAATCTCTCCTAAATAACATCCCTCAATAGTCAAGTCACACACTTCACTTTATTTCATGTTATTAACTTTGCTTCTACCTCCTTGGACCACCCTAAGGGATCGTCTCCATTATGTTCTTCAAATACTTGCAGATAATCATATCTCCCACTTAAACGTCATTTAGCCAAGTTTCATGCATTTCTTTTCATCTTATCTTGCCTCTCCAGCATTCTTGCTGCTCTTCCCTCAATTTCTTCCAAACTACTGACATCTTTCAGCAACTGAGAAACTTCCAATTGCATGCTGTACTCTAGATGTTTTTTGTACTCTAAAGAAAGATAATTAAGTCTTTTCAAGAAATATTAATGCTTCAAGCCTGGAATAAATCTAAATCAGAGATTTCATTATTTTGGGTTTTTTCCAGAATGGATAGTAATTATCCCCATTTCAGAGAACAGAAGAGCAGAGAGAAGTATCTGACTTATTGCTGCACACAAGCAGTGCCAGAATAAGAAACAGATCCATGTTCTGCCATTCCCAGTCGTGGACTGCCAAGTTTCAGCCCACAGACAACATAAGACAACGTTCCCAGGCTGTGATCTAGAGGCAAACACAACTCATTTCCAAGTCAGTACAGAACAACACTTGGGGAGCCCAACACTTGCTCGAGTGAGCAGGCAATGGTGCAGGAGGCTGTTGGCACCAGTGAGACCATGCAACACCCTACAACGCGCCATAGTCTGTTACTACCTTAAGTCATCAGGACACAAATCTCTGATATATCTACTTGACTTTTATTGCCATGAAGGGGTTTGTTTCTAAAACCATCCGTCAGCTATCATCAGGTTACCTACCCAAACAAGCTAACTCAATTCCAGAGGTTAAGACTGGTTTCACATATGAGAGGATTACTGCCAGGCTGAGGCAGTACAAGGCAGTTTTAACTTGTACATTTCCTTCCCTTCCCTCCCACTCCCTGATACATTTGTGAAGAAATAATGGAGAAGTAACTTCAGAAAAATTAGAAATGGCTCTTCACAAAATAAATCTGCAAGAGAGACTGTATGAGGGGAGGCAAGGATGAAGAATACGGGGGAAGGGAGAGAAAAGTCTGATCATTTAAATTAAAAAAACCCAACAAAACCCCACAAACAGGATGCAGACAGATTAAAAAAGCAACACTGATCTAACAAAGGAATGTGAACTGCAGTTGACTTAAACAGCATCACGGCAATAGCCCTCCCCCTGCACACGAATCTCTGCAACTCTTAAAGATACAGGTTTTTAGGCTCTTCCAAATTCTGTGCTTCTTTCCCATTGCTTGATACTCCTAGCTTGAGCTAATTTAACTTAATAGCCTTTTCTTTCCAGACAAGACTACCCAAGTCTGACCCAGAGTAAAACAAAGCAAAGTAAGTTGTATTATTCTGCCTACCTCAGAGAGGTATTAAATTCTAGCATTCTGCTACATATTCTTCTCACTGAAAGAGCAAACTATAAAGGGTCCTCTGTTTCAAAGTCTGCTGTTAAACATCAGAAGAGTGTAACCAAGATTAGATAATGAACACCTCGGTGAAAGGTATCATTTCTTCCCACTCACTCAATATACAGAGCAAAACACCATTTTCTAAATCTATATACAATTTCCTTAATGTAACTGCAGGGTCACAATTATAGTTCCTGCTTACATCCACAATGGAGTCAAAGATGCCTTATGAGGCTTCTCTCTGTCCCAAGAAGAACCATTTTCTCCATCCGAAATGTGCAAATGGTAATGTAAATGCTGTCCTCCCGTTGTTCTTGTCTGTCATCAAATTTTTACCTCCTGAAAAGTTACTAAGAGCATTACATTTTTAAGCAAGACATCATCGTCATTTTCAGCTTGAACCCTTTCCAGCAATAAGGTCATTTATGCATCATTTCAGCACCTACCTATCTTGGTGCACCCTTAACAAACTTTTCTATATTATAAAATAAAAAACATACATGTGTCTGGTGCAACTTTTTTCTTTAAATATGCACTGTGCTTGCTAATTAGGCTCTCAGACCTATTTGCAAAGTCTAGCATTTGGTGACAAAACTGGAATTACAGCTGGGATAGAATACAGGAGATTTTTTGCCTAGTCAAAAATTCTTATCTTGTGATAGGAAGAAGAAAGGAAATTTGCAGAGAGTCAAAATTAGTACAGTTGCATCATAACCTAAGTTAAATGGAAAAAGAGTCCATCTTCAGCAAGTAATCAGGAAACTTCACCTCACTCTGTAGATCAATTGCTCTGTGATTGTTTGCTCTCACAGAACATTCTTATTTCTTTTCTCCACTTGTACAACAGAAGTAATCTCGCTCATCTCCCTAAAGAGGGTGGGGGATTAGCTAGCGATAAATGGGCTGAAGACACTACAGAAATACAAAAGTACTTCCAGTATCATTAAAATCTTATCCCACAATCTGAGTTAAACGCAGCACCTATTATTGCCTTTTGAAAAGGCTCAGAACAACTCTCCTGCCTTAAAAAGAAGGAGGAAAAAAACCCAAGTAATGACACTTATAAACTCTAGCACCCATCATTTCCCATGCTATCAGCAGCTAAGGAGGAAAAATCCTTCCTGTAATTCACCAAAGATGAAAAAATACAGTCATATATAATATCATAAAACCAGGAGACACAAGCAATAAAAAAAAAAAAAAAAGCCTCTCAAGATGTCCAAAAACCCATTTATCACGCAGTTTTTGCTTGAAGGCAGGCTAGGTAATAACATGTAGAACAGAGCCAATTTAAGGAACTTGCATCCAATATACTATATTTAATAAGTAGCTACAGGTAAAAATGATAGCAGGTTTGCTTTCCTTTTTTTGTTCAGAAGAACTCTGGTGCAAATCATACATACATTAAGAGAGAAGAGATTACTACAAACCTTTCTGGGCACAGCATGATTTTTATGTTACTGCCACTTAACAAGAAGTCATTTTGAGACCTGAGTTTGCTGACACAGGAGATGTGGCTTCAGGCCATTCACTCTCACAGCCACCACCATTTAATCAGAAGAGGTACAGTCCACCAGATCAGTGGTCCAACTGGGTAGGAGCTCATTTCAAAACTTCAGGACACTACTGGTAACACTCAGACTTGCAATATGGAAAGATCCTCTACACTTAACACAGATTAGCGCTTGTTAACAGATAAGCACCTACCTGGAATTCGGATTTTAAATTTGCCACTTTGTCCAAAACCACCATCTATTATTCCATCTTCTCCTGTAGATAGTTTGACCTTCAGACCCACAAAAATCTGGATGTTTGTTTCCTTTTTAAACAACGACCGACCAATCACACTGTAATCGTCCATCACCTGCAAAAGAAACAGGGATTGGTGAGTCTACAATCTAAAGTGACAAGAAATTATCCCTGTGATACAAACTAAGTTCGGTGACTGCTACCACCCTGCCCTTTGAAAACCATTTACACCCAAATGAACAAAACTCTAGATGAGTCATCTAAACTTCTGGGTTAAAGGCAATTTGTTTCTAAAACCATGGAAGGCTTTATGAATGAACATATTTCTGCTTTCACTTCCCTTCTCAAAATACTGGAAGAACAAAACCTGCATCAGAACATGCTGTAAAGATCACTTAATTAAAATCTTTTTTCGGCTTTGAAACCTTTCCATGAAAGTCACTGAAGTACCTATGCTCACAAAAAGTTTATTCCACTACTTATCCTACAGCTAAGTACATTATCACCTACATAAACATTCTCTGTCTTTTAGCTCCAGACCTGCACTCCAACAGCTACACTTCCAAAGAAAGGACAGAATTACTAGGAGTTTCTAAATAGAGCCTTTTAAATATTCACCTTTACATACATATTGATTTGTTAAACTAAAAGCCTTATGACCATTGTATCCAATTTTAATTTCAAGGTTTGTAACCCAGTGGGAAGAACCATTCCAAGTTGAATTCTTAATTAAGCTATCAGGAACAAGAGGCAGCAAGGTTGGTGGGTAAGGCAAGATAAACAACCCTCCCTTAGGCATTACAAAGTATAAGGTGCAGTCAAGTGAGCCTAATCCTGTAGGTGTGAATATCCTTGTACACCTAACGCCTGGAGTTACTCTACCTTGTAGACGTGGAAAGAACATTTATTTATCAGAAGAAATGTGAGGGTATTACTTCAATCTTTTCAAGATTATTTTTTGTGGTAAAAGTTGCAGTTCTTCTTCATATCTTAGGAACCATTTTCAGCTAAACCTAAGGGTTTCAAGGACCAAAGTGACTTAGAACAGTAAAGAATTATAACTAGTTTTGAACACTCCCCTTTATTCCATTTAAATAATGACTCAAAGTATTGTTGGTTATTAAGCAACTGTCCTTCCCTGAAGCCTCCTCCATAAACTCTAATGCATATACAGACTCATATCCTTAGGACTGCTATTATTTTGTTACATATATATGTCTCTATTTTAATGCCAATCTCAGTACAGTAGTAAATCTAGCATCAGAAACTTAATTTTTGTTTTATTTTAAACAGAGCTTACTTGCTCAGCTATAAACAGCTTTGAAATGGCTGTGCAGTACTAGAGGGCACTGGCAGGACCTCCCCCTGTCCAAGACCACATGTAGGATGAGAAATACCTACAGCCCTTCTTCCTTCTTTCACACGGAGATGACAACAGGACAGGCAGCTCTGCTCCCAGCTGGGTGCAGCCAAGGCTGTAGGCAGAAGCACTCAGGATGTCTCAACAACATTCACTGCCCAAATATCCACTCGTCATCTTTTCCCAAAAGGTCACATGTCTGGTTTTGTGTTGTGTCTGTCCTCTCCCACTGATTCAAAATAGCCTGCTTGGCAACCTCTGGCTTAAATTTAAAACTGAATAATATCCTTTACTAGAGCCCCTGATAATAGGTGGTGGTAGAGGGGGAAGATAAGCCTTCAGGCATGCTCACCTTTCTTTTGGCCTGAAACAGAAGACTAGCAGAAAAAGGTGGTGTTAATTCCTACCTGAAGAAGAACTTACATTCTTAAAATCTTTTTCATTTTTCCAGTTGCATTACCTGGAGAAATGAAAATATTATGACCTGCAGGTTCCTCTTCTCCACCGCTGGCTATGTGCTGCTTTCCCCGCCTTTGAAACATAGATGGTCTCTTGTGCTCCAGTGAGGATCTTCATTATATCTATTATTTTTGTAGTTATCCCCACAAAATGGCACAGGAAGCCAACTTTAAAAGCAATGCAAACATCTTTTATTTTTCCAAGAGCACTTCAAAGCTATCTTTAACTTAATTAAAACTGGAATTACAGGGTGAGCAATCATACTAGGCTAGCACAGTTCAGTTCAGAGCCTCCCTGGCCAGGCTGTCAGAAAAAACTTCATTTCTGTGTACAAGTGTTACAGGCATCATGTACCTTTGACTAAACCTGTAATGATAACATACAACTGATGATTAGAACAGCAACAAAGTCTATCACCATCTAGACATGCCACACTCAAGTTGATTTTAAAGCTCCTTATCTTTTGCAAGGAAATGTGCTTTTTAGAGTCTTGCTCTTGCACATTCAGTCTAGGAGAGTAACCAAGGGCTCCACAGCTGCACTGTTCCTTTCACTCTAATGGTCAACTCATTACAAAAATCCTTCATTTAGCTGTTTGATATGTTCTGTTGGTATCACCATGATTCCTTGGGCTTCTCTATAGGTCATTAGAAACAAAACTACTTCAGTGGTGTTGAGAAAGTAAGTGATCAGTGACTTGCCTGAGTGTCTGTCTGGTATAAAACCTTGAGGACCCGAAGTGTCAGACTCGCACACTAAATACTATACACTCCATCCTGTGTCATCCATCCCTTCCAGTTAGCTTGTCATCAATTTATCCCTGATGAAGACTAAGTAATAAGAGAATGCCTGTTGTAACAAGGACTAAGATAACTGGACCAATCTTTGCATTAAAATAAATGACTGTAGGAGAGAATTACTATGAAGGAAACATTATTTCCTCAACTGTAAGATCATGTAAGGGGGGGGGAAAAAAAGAAAAATCAAATTTTTGGTTTAGCCGTGCTTTGTACAAAGGCAGAGAAATGTATGTTGTTCTCTCCAACTGAAACTCAACACTTCCAATTACTTTACCAGCAATTTACCTCCAATCGCAGGATTTCAAGTTAATCCCCTTTGAGTTCTCAGAACATCTACAATGGCAATCACTTTGCCTATTAGCTGAACAGCCTTTTGGGAGAGCTTTCTGCTTTTTACGAAAGCATTCTTCTTTTTTTTTGGTCTAAAATATTATGAACTTACAAAGCCAAATGCTGCAAAGACAGTAAGGGATACACAGTCTGCTCTGAAGCAGCAGCAAGGGGCCTAGCAATGAGGGCAGACTAATTTTATTAACTTCAGCGAAACTTCAAAAAGCTTTAGGGCTTTAATGCCAGACAGAGACGACCCCAAAAGTCAGTTTAAGTGCTGCATAAACAAAGGATTAGGGCAAGAAAAAGCTGAAGGCTCCATGCATTTCTTGTTTATATTGTCATATGACCTAGTAGGAGTGGGAGAGGGCTGCCTCTCTGACTTTAATCCTCCATGGTGTACAGTGGCGTTTCAGTTCACTGACCTACATTACGATAATATTTTTTTAAATTTATGGGCAGAGGTGCAGCATCAAACTCACTTAAGGACTTTGAAAAAAAGAAAAGGGGCGGGAAGGGAAAAATACCCAGAAGAGAAATTTTCTGGCTGGTATAGTCTCCCCCTCTTACTTAGGTTAGATCAGCAGCTTAGAAAGGGATTTCAAGTTCAAAGGGAACGTCTCTGTTGCTCTTGTTTTATGGCTTAGACCAAAGGACACAATAGCACTGAGTTTATGAAAGATCCCTTCCCACTTGGCTTTTGTGTTTGCACAAAAAAAGTAAACAGGGTTTTATAACCATAGGTGAAGTATGTGTGTCTCTGGCACATAACCCTTGTGCTGATACCGAGACGTTCACAGAAAAAAATAACCAACTCACACTCCCCATCTAGGCAGCTCTTACCCTACCATATACTGTTTGCAAAACCACAGTTCATGTTACGCGTGTTGGCATTCAGCACAAACCATCGTATAATTCCAAGGAAAAACACCTCCATGATTCCCCTTCAAGCAAGGACAGCAAGCTATATACTGTGCAGCTTGTCAAACCACCCTCCCTTTCAAGATAACTTAGAAATGATTGTCATCTGAACACCCTCTCAAACAATCCATCACACACATTTTGAGAGCAAATAACTCATCTCTTAACATTTCTGTAGGGGAAATAAAAAAAAAAAGCAGATCAGAACAGAAACACACAGGAGGAAACAAAATAAGGAAAGGTTTCAGACAGATAAAGTGAAAGCACTGAATATTAAATACTAGAAAAGAAACAGAGAGAGAAAGAATAACCTTTACTGACTTAATAAAAAATTATATGGGTTTAAAAAAAGAAATATATTTTTTAAAGAAGGATGAAAATAGGCCTAAGGATTATTCTCAGCACACTGATAAATAGTCCATTGAAACCAAAGCAGAAAAACAACAGGAGAGGAAAAAGAACAAAAAGAACCTATGACTAACACTGAAAATACAAAGTATTTTTATTACTTTTTTGTACTTTAGAAAAAGTACACTTGAGACATCTTCATCATGATCAGTGACAGCTCATTTATTTCTAGAAAACAGTTTCAAGCACTTTCCATTTCTGTGTCAGAAATGGGAATATTTTGGAGGTTGCAAATTCCTGTTCTTTTTCAAAAGAGGGTTTTATGCACTGGTAAAATGATGGTACATGAGGCCACAAAAAGGGTGAAGGAGAGAGAAACTGAGAGGATTTCACCAATGATTGAGTTTCCAGCTTTTCTGACTCTACAAAGACTTCTAGCTTATAGTTGCTTACTGTAAACTAGGTGAACAACTTAGTAAAAAAAAGAATGACTTGGCCAGACACAGCTTTTCTTCAAGAGATTACTTACATCAGCATAAAGACTTTTCTTTCTGCAGTTTGCTCTGGTGCTAGAAGCCTTCAGCTGTGTGCTGGGCTCCAAAGACCTTCTTTCCTGCCATCCTCCAAGTGAACAAACTAAACTTCTGCCTTTGGACATCCATCCACAAGGAAGGAACAGACATGAAACATCGTCAAGTCTCATTACTGCTGTTTTAACATAGCAAGAAGTCATCACGAACATCTCTGGATATGCACTAACTTGGTTTTCAGATGTTCATCCCATCTCTCCCCAGCCTATGCTTCCTACATCCAAGAAACATTTTCCTTTCTCTGCCCTTTTCTTCCTTTCTGAGTAAAGGGACAATTGCATTTCAGAAAATCTAACAAGCAGCCATA